AAATGAAAGGAAGAAGTTCTGTTTCATCTAGAAGTGAGTAAATTTCTCAAATATTTGAAGTTTTTCTCATCAGGAAATTTCTCTCTGAGCCATGGCACATTGTTTACACAGCTCTCTCAAAATCATCTAAGGGCAGAAGCCCTTGCTGTGGTGATGGGCTAAAACAGAACTGCATCTTGGATTCACACCTTTCAAAAGAGGGATGCCTGACAAGGTAACCCACCCCTCCTGCCACAATTTGAGACTCAACTGGGCACAGGGTGCATACAACACTAGAAACCTTTCATTCTACCCTCCAGATGCTGTAGAAAATCACATCACAGACTCTCACTTTTTCTTCTCTTCCTGAATTTATTCATGACTCCTGGTGACTCTGCTAATATTGGCCTTTAGCTTATGTAGTATTTTACTGCTCTGGTCTCCATAGTTTATTGCTCTGACAGATTTTTTCAGGAGAAATCATTTCTTTTCTTAGCCTTTATTTACCCAGTCTAAACAAAACAAATCTTTTGAGTGTTCTTTGATATGATAAGGCATCCATTTGGCAGATAATCTCAATCCCTTTTCTGTACACTTGATTCTCTGAATAAATCAGCTGTAAAACCTGACAGCCTGTCATGCAAAGTGCTGAGCATGGCTGTCATGAGGGCCAACCATGAGGAATTATTTCCTTCACTCTGTATTAAGTACCTGCATGTTCCTGACTGTGAAACCCATACACCACTCTCCCAGTCCTCATTTACATGGTACTGATACCCCCATTCCTTTTTTAAAGATCAGCTGCTCCACCTTTCTTCTTTCCCTACTTATTATCCTTTTTTCCTGACCTCTTCTCATTTATTTTCTGAATATTATGTAAACTACAGATTTCAGATAAACAACTGAGCAATAGACTTACAAATATGTGTTTACAAATGTGTATTACAAAGGTTTTTATGTCCTCAAAGAACAGAGGCTGCCCCATTCTCAAGCAAAAGAAGGCCTACACAAAGTATAAAGACAGTTATTTATCTCACCCTCCCTGCTGGCTTTCTTGGTCAAAAGGTTATTTCTAAATCTGTCACTGATCTGTACAATGGTTTTGATTAAACATCTGTCTTGTCTCATTCTGCTTCCTTATTTCTGAAATGGAGTTTAAAATATATTAATAAGCAGATTGATGGAATTGTATTGATAAAACTAAGGAACTTTAAAATCTTTCAGTGGTCAGCTTTTGCTAGGACAGAATGGATGTCTTGTGCTTTATACCATTGCACAAATTCACTTCTACCATTTCAAAGGAGCAGTACAAACACACTCATTTTGTTCACTTTCAGAATCAGTACACTTCATGAGCTAAAACATTCCTTGTAATATCTTGCTGTGATTCCAGATTCTTCGGAATACGCAACTTAAAATATGTTTAACTCCTGACAACAAAAATCCCAAATTCACCATTCCTGCTGGTGGCATTTATCACAGGAGTCTGAGTCACACAAGTCAGAAGGCAAGTTATTTATAGGACAATCTTAAGATTTTGGGATTTATATGTCTAAAATTCTTTTCCCTTCATTGAAAAGCTCTGTGAACATACTAGCAGAGAGAAAAAAAACACTGTGTGAGAACAGAACCACCATCTCCCCTCTTTTGAACAGTTTATGGAAACAAACTAGATAAAATTTCAGGAAAATTGTATTTAAAAGGGAGTAAAAACCCCGAAATCCACTCCCTCCTGCAAAAAAAAAAAAAAAAAAAAAAATCTCATCTAGATCTCATAGAACATGTACTAAATAAACCCATGCAGTTTCTTCCCAGAGGCTTACTCTAGATCTAAATTTAACCTTTCCACCTTCATTAGCAATAATGAAGCAGTTTGATTTCTCAGTGTCATCAATAAGCATGAGCTCAAGGCTCATTTCTAAGCCAGACATATCAGGAGATTACTGCTGACTGTTTAACAAGCTGTACTACATCCACTTACAAATGTTGAATCAAATTGCTTTTAAAAATGCCTTCCATGGAGCAGAAAATAATATGAAAAAAAAAAAAAAGCCTCAATCACTACTCCTTTTCCAAAGCACAAAAGTTTTAATTTAAAGTCTGATATTAGCCTCACTTGCTTGTGAGAGCAGCTCACTGGAGTAAAACCCCTCATATTTTGTTGCTGCCAAGTCCTCGGGCTTTACCTTGCTTTGTGCACTTGTAAGGAGGTCTCATCTCAGCCCTACCTTTAGCCATTCCAGTTTGGGATGTATTCCCACCACTCCATCCCCTGAGATTTACAACCCATGATAGTTCTTCAGACACAGACAATTTGTGTGGGTACTAATTCTGGCCCTGAGACAGAATAGATGTTAAGCCCTGGAAAACTGTGCCTTGCAGGGGGAATATTCCTTCTCCACTCCCTGTGCAGTGCAGGATTCCTCAATCTTATTCCATCAGAAAGAAATACAGGGGAATGTCACACATCCTCAGGAAAACCCACACCAAGTGCAATTACACAAAACATTACCTTTGGAAATTTAAAGAAAATATGGCATAGTCTGTGACAATTTCTCAGATTATAAGTGTTGAGTTCCTAGAAATAAAAAACAGGTAAAGAGGAGAACATGAAGTTAGTGGTAACAGTTTTGTGAATAGTCTACATTCATTCACTCTTCTAGAAACTCTTGAAGTATTAGAAAGACTAAAGAAAATTAACATGAAGAACTTATTCATACAAGTCTTTGTAAAATTGTATTTTTGTATAAAGTACCATTCACAGGCTATTTTCCCCCCTGTCCAATCGATAAAGGGGTTACCATTGGTTGCAATATTTTAATAAATCACTTTTCTTCAGGTTATTCCTGAAATGGCTCCAAGCTCCCTCCAATGGGCCAAAACACTCTAAAGGGCTCTTTCTGACTATTTCCTTACTGCTGGAATTACTCATTTCAATGTAATCTCAATTGTACATGACTGCACTTTATAGCAAGAACACAAATCTTACTTTCATCAGCTCTCAGCCCCCCATGCACAACACAGTGGATACCAGAGGTGTGACAGACTTTCATATTTTCTTTTACAATTAAAAACACTCAATATGCACCCAAGGGTCCCACAACCATGGGACACTGAACCAACACAGTATTCCACACATGAAACAAGGAATGGGGCTCTTATAAATGGGTGGAATGAAATAGGGTGTTGGAGCAAGGTGGGACATGGATTAAAACTGTTAGCAAAACAAACTGTTAAAATTTCTGGCAAACACTCAAATAGTAACATCTGAAAAGGCACCAACACAAACAGAGAAAACTTTTGGCAGACACATAGCAGGCAGTAACAGTTGTTAGCACATACACAGAAAAGAAACACCAATTTTATAGAAAATACACCAAACAACACATACAACAATCAAACTCAAAATTCCAAGATCAAAACCAATAGGAAAAGTCATCAGACTTCTTTTGGGGCCTCTAACCCCTTTGTATTTCTTTTGGGGACTCCAATCCCTTTTTTGGGGGACTTTAATCCCTCTGTATCTCTTTAGGGGAGTCCTATGCCACTATAACATCATCACACACACCAGAACCAATTTAAGTGGTATGACCTGATGGTTATTAGACAGTTCTTTTGCACTGAGCTTGTGTCTCCCCAATTCGGGGGGGGGTGTTGGGGGTCTTTGATGAAGGCATCCAGGGTCTTCTTCGTATCTGAAATTTTCAACTTTGTCCTTGGAGCATGTGCAGTTACAGTGTTCTTTGTTCTGTCTGGTCTTAGCCAGCCTAAATTCTTTATTTTGTGGCTAAATGGCTTTCCACTTGTCAATTTTTCATTAGTACTACACTTCTCTATCTCTAAAGCTATCCACCTGGCAAGTTTTATCTTCTTTTTTTGTCTATTTAGCATTAAGCAACTAGTTAACCATATATGAACCATTACATTGTATAAAGAACTATGATTCAGGTTATATAGGAATAAAGAGATATGATTCAGGAGCTATGATTCTGGTTATACAGGTATGGAGAGCTATGATTCTGGTTATATAGATATATAAAAAGTCATGATTTAGATTATATTGGTATCGGGTTACTTAGATATATCAGGTTATATAGATACATAAAAAGTCATGATTTAGGTTATATAGATATATCAGGTTATATTGATATATAAAAAGCCATGATTTAGGGTATATTGATACCTTATAACTCAAGCTATATAAGCACCTCGTAACTTTGATCTAAGTTATACAGGCATCATTTATCCCTACGATTTTTAGGAAAACCAAGATGAAAGCCACCCAGTGAGCCAGGATAGTCCCTTCAGAAACACCCAAGGAGCAGTGTTCGGGTGCCTCTTTGGGGAGATGGGATTGCTTCAGTAGCTGAGGCGATGATCCAGAATTCAAGAGTAAGAGGAAACAAAACCTAAGGCCACCACACACCTTCCTAACGCTGCTGCTTTGGGTTGCTGAGGGCACTGGGGCTGTTTTTCACATCCTTTCCCCCACATTCTCTGCACTTGCTGGTTGACACCTTCCCAGCCCCAGCGACTACAACAGGAGTCAGGTTGGAAGGGACCACGGTGAACATTTATCGCACGTCCCTGCTCAGGCAGGGTCATGGCACAGCACAGGGAACAGCACCGTGCCCAAACAGCTCGGGAACACCGGGGACAGCGGCCGCCACCAGCCCCCGCCACGCGCGGCGCCGCCGCCTCACGGAGATCGCGCCCCGCCCACTCCCACCCTTATAATGCACCGTGCGCGTGACGTCAGGCGCCGCAGCCAACGGCGGCCTCTGTTTAATCGGGGGCGAGCACGTTCGTTGCATATTCACGCGGCGGGCCCGGTGCCTGCGCTGATGTCGCGCTGCCGCAGCCAATAGCCGCCTCTGTTTGGGGGGTTCATGCATATTCATATATGCACATTCATAGCCACGCACTCTCCGTGCTGCAGCGGCCGCGGCGAGGGGCGGGCCCGGCCCGGCCCCGCTTCCCTGACGGCCCGTGAGCCTGCGGAGCCGCGCCGGCAGCGGGAGGCGGAGCCGGCCCGCCCGTATTTATGCTGAGCCCCGCCAGGAGCGGCGCCGTAAGTGTGGGGCGGAAGCGCCCGGCACCTCGTTCCTCCCGCCCGGGCGCAGGCGACGAGGATGAGCCAAAGAGACACCCTGGTGCATCTCTTTGCCGGCGGGTAGGTGAAGCCCCGGGAGCCGCTCCTGCGCTTTCCCGTTCTCCTCCCTGCGCTTCGGGTCTGGCCCCGCTCCCGTGCCCGCCACTGGCTGGGCTTGCCTGGCCTGGGGGCGGCGGCGGCGGCCTGGAACGGCTGCCTGGGGACATCTGGGTAGGGCTGCGGGGTGCCCCGCTCCTCCGTGCCCGAGGGGCCGCGGGGAGGAGGGAGCGGGCCGCGCTCGGCTTCCCGCCCCGTGCCCTGAGGCCTTTCCGGGCCCGCTGCGCGCGGCCGGGCCCGGCCCCGGCTGTTGCGTTGTGTCACGGGTGGAACGCGGGCCCTTGGGGAGGCGGGGTGGAGGCTTCCCGTAAAACCAGCCCCTGTCTCTGAACGCATTCCCGGGTTTGGCCCTGATCTGGCGTTTTGGTGGAGCAGCACGCAGGGCCCGCCGTGCGGGGCTCCCCGCTGCAGGGAGCAGCCCCGGGACCGGCGTGGCGGCCTCGCGGGCTGGCACTGCCCGCTGGGCACGCTCTGCCCGGGGCCGCTGTGTCCGTGCCGTGCGTTCTAACGCTCCCGTGTGCGCTGCCCTTCCCTGTGGGGCTGTGGCACCTCCGGCTCTCCGGCCACAAAGGCGGAGGAAATGGGAGGGGAAAATGTACTCAGAAATAAAGATGTAGCCTTGGTTAGGTTTGAGGTAACTTTTGTATCTTCACACCTATTAAAGAAGTTTCAAAATGTCTGTTTTTAGGATTCAAAATGTATGGGCTGTATTTGTGAAGCCTGTGGTCCTTCCAGGGGCAGGGTGGGAAGGGCACCCAGCCTAAAAGGGGAAGCTGGGGGTCCTTGGTTGTAGTACAGTATTTAAGTAGTGAGCATGACTGTACAGAAGGGATGCAGCCTTGCGTCCCATGAGAGAGCTTGAACTGTGATTTCCCTTTTTGCTCCTCACAGACAAAAATGAGCTTGCTGCTTCTGGACTGAGGTGTTTGAGGTGGAGGAACAGTGGTTCTGGGCAAGTCTGAGTGACTTGGACACATGTCAGTACTTTTCTCTGCTTCTGGCACACTTGGAGGAAGTATTGTTCACCTGATCCAGTGCCTGTGTGGGGGCTTTTTCATCCCCTTGATTTCTTGCACCCTGTTTAAGAGGAGAGTGGCTATGCAGCAGGAGGCTCAAGATGTAGTAGTGTGTACTGTTTTCTGCAGACTTTGCATCCTTGTAAGCATGCAGAAAAGCAATAGCAGGAGCTGCTGCAGAGAATCCAGTAGAGGGCTACAAATATGATGAGGTGTCTGGAGCATGTGCTTTGTGAGAGCAGACTGGGGGAGCTGGGCCTGTTTTCTGGTCCAGTCTGAGAGGGGATCTCATTAATGCATATGAATGTCTCAAAGGGGTGCCGAGAGAATGGTTCCAGACTTTTTTCAGTGGTGCCAGCAACAAGACAATGAGCAGAGGCCATAAACTAAAACACAGGAAGTTTCACCTCAACATGAGGAAGAACTTCTCTATATTGAGGGTGGCAGGGCAGTGGAACAGCCTACCAAGGGAAGTTGTGGGGTTTCCCTCTCTGGAGACATCCCAAACCCACCTGGACATAATTCTGTGTTACCTGCTCCAGGTGACCCTACTTTGGCAGGGACATCAGACAATATGATCTGCAGAGGTCCCTTCAAGCCATAAGGATTCTGTGAGTGGTGCCTGATTGTGGCCCTTCAGCTTGACAGCTCTGCACAGGGGAGATTACTGAGCAGAATTGTGCATTATGTCAGAAACAGGTTTGTAAACCTGAAACTTGAGAGCGGATGAGGATCGCTCAGCTCAGCTGCTCATTCCTATTTATTGCAGAGCAGTCTGGTCGATGGGTAGGTGCTGGCCAGCTGGGTCAGGGGTTAAAGGCTGAGTGTGAGCCACATGTGCCCTGTAACCTTAGTTCAGCCAAGCTAACACTGGGTATTTGGTCACATTTGGCAGTGGAAGAGTTTTTTGGGGTCATCTCATGACTTTGCAAGCATGGTGCCCTGCAGATCACCTGAGTGATCTTTAATCTTCAGTGAGACTTAGAGGAAGGAAGCTTTGTAGCTTTGTTTGCCTTTAAGTTGCACCAGAGCCTCTATGGAAACAACATTATTATCTCTATCTGCTGGTGCCTTTTCTTTCTTCCATCCCCAGATGTTCAAGTTCATTCTTCAGTTCCTGCTTTCTGTAATGAAACTTTGACAGATGACATTGCTGGTTTAGTAGCATAAGTGGGACTATGCTGGGATTTTTCTGTAGCTGCCTAGGCTGTATGGAGTTTTTTGTGTATGGGGTTTTTTTGTGTATCTTCTCTTTTTCTCCCACTTAGTTGAGCAGCAGCTGTTATCACTGTAGGCATTATGTTGGTAGTATAAACTCAGGTACTATTTATTCAACATTCTTCATTCTTAAATCAAAAAGTCATGTGATTGAAATGTGGGATGTAGATGAACATTTTTAGTTCAAGTAGTAAGTATAGCTGCTTTTTTTAGTTGTTAGACTCATTTTAAAAAGTAGTAGAAGACCTTCATGTTTTGCTATATAGAAAAGATTAATATGTTTTGGATGTACTGCCTTGCAAGCATACAGTGAAAATTCAGGTGTTGGCTACAAAAACAGTGTTCAAGTTTTCATGATTTATTCTTCATTTCCAGAAGGTTATGACAGTAATGGTGTATCATACAAACTTCCATCAGAGCAGAGAACTTGTGTGAGTGTTGTTTCCTCAGCAAAAGGAGAGGTTTGGGTTAGGAGGTGGACAGCTGCTTTTCTGACTTCACACTTGGATAGTCTCAGCTTTGCTTCTTTTCTTCACTTTTGGTGTTTCTTGCAGAAATTTGGCTCTTTTCTAATTTAGTGTGTGAGGAAGTATAGGGAGGAGCTTCTTTATTTATCTTGAATATAGAACTGTCTCAAATCAGTCTGTAACTGTAATCATGCTCTGTCTGACAGAGGTTGTTAGCAAATCCCTACAGAGGCTAAAATGGTTAAGGTACAGAAAATGTATTTAACACAAGTGTCTGAGTTCTCAGCAAGATCAGACACTGCTGAAATGTATGAAGGAAAGGTAAGAGACCCTTGGGGTTTCCTCATTTCAGAAGCTTGTTAATAATGTGTAGCAGGTATTGTGATGATGGGGGCACTTTTACACCATGTCAGGGAACAGCCCCTTGAGCCATAACTGAGTTGCCAAGCACTCACTCCTCTCTGCCCTGAAACACATTTGTGGCATAACTCTGGATGTATTTCAGAGCAAGTGAGAAGGAGGTTAGTGCTTTTCTGTCCAAACTTGAGGTTATATTTATATTCAGATACACTTTTGTGTGAAATAACAGTGTTTGTTTAAGGCTTGGGGTTTGCTCCATGGGGTTACTAAATTACATGAAAATTGCTGTCAGTACTTGAGAAACTGTGCCACTGGTATTTTTCTCACATTTCTATCTAGATGCTTTGAGCTGTTTTTACTTAATACAAATGTTACTGTAAATATTGATTTACCCCGTCTCTTAATAAAAGCTACACTGTTCATGTTGATGTTTGTTTTGGATAATGGAACCCAGTGATGCTTGATCCCCTGGTGGTGTTTTTCTTGTTTTCACTTGTAAGTTTCTATGTGGCAGCACATCAGGGGATTTTATTTTTATGCTGTTCATTACACACCACAAGTTTGAATAGTATTTGTGGTTTATGGATGTGAGCTTAACTTACACTTTCTAAGTTTCAGCAAAGAAACATAATCAGTGAGTAGAGTGATTAAGGGTTTGTGGCTGGTAGTACTCCAGTTGAACAGTGTTACATCAGGAAAAACCTGGAAATTCAGGATTAATGAATGCTGTTTCTGAAAGCTGTACTTGCTGAAGCCCTTCTGTACTCTCTGAAGGCTGATAATATAAATGTAATATCCAAAGCTGCAGCTTTGTTGATGTGCAAGTTACTCTGGTTGTAAGACATATGCATGAAATTGCTGATAGACTTGGAACCTGAATTTGCAGTAACTGATGAAGAGAGAAAAGTTCTGTTCTGCTTGTAAGTGGCTTGGATACTTTTTTTTGACAGAATTTTGAGCTCAGTTTACATGCTGTTTCATTTGACAGCCAGTGTTTGCATAGAACTTTTATTTTTGTACAGGAAAGATAAGTAGCTGGTAAAATACATGAATTAATGTAGGCCCAAGATAACAGGGTCAAGGTTTATCTTTAAGTCTTTGAGGCTACTGTGAAAGGTGAATCTGAAACTAGCACTGGACAGCCATGGCTTTTGTTTTCATAAAATGCATCATTATCTCAAGGATTTAAAAAAATATGCACTGACAGTGTTAGTTGGAAGTCAGGCTACACTGGCATTGGGGATCTCAATCTGCTTTAGAGCACTTTTAGTCAGTCCATGGCTGAATTTGAGACCCTCATCCATGCTGGAGCTGTCTCTGTTGGTACCTGCAGGGCTGACAGGTACCAGTAGAAGACACTGAGCTGCTCTGGACAAGGGCAGGGACTCCTCAGCTGATACCTTAACCTTGCAATAGTAAAACTTTCTTGTGTGGCCTTGTCTGGAAGGAGAAGCTGGGATCTGAGTGCCAAACAGGTTGAGGTTTGTGAAGCATGTGTGTGTTTTTTCCTTGGATAGTCACACAAATAATGCAGAGGTGTCTGAGGAAAATGGTTGTCAGAGCTGTACCTATTGAACAGTTAGCAGAATTTAAAGCCCAATAGTTCCCGGTTGGTTTCTGTTAAACCAGTGGGATGATGGTCTTCTAACTCACCACTTGGGATCAAACTAAATGTGTTGTGGTGGTTGGGGTTTCTTTTGTTGGGCTTTTTTTTTCTTTTCAGTATGTGCTTTCTGGAGGAGAAATGTTCTCCTTAGTTTAGGACATTACCATCTTCCTAGATTCTTCAGTTCAAGAGATGTCAAGTAGACAACTGTTCTTGGTTTTATTGTTTTCTTTTAGGTTTGTTGTGATCCTGCAGATGATAACTACATCTTGTGATGTCCATGTATTTTGTTCCACTGAATGTGACATCTCTTAGCTTGTACAAGAAGGCTCAAGTTGAAATTTTAATTCTCTAGCTTGACTATATTAATAGTGGGATTTCAGTCTCCCTTTTTTAACCAATGTATTTATTTTTGTGGAGTTACCTAGTGATCTCTGCTTTTCTGCCCTTCAAATTACTTGGGGCCTGCAGGTGAGTTCTCATACCCTTTTATGATCAAGGTATTTTTGCTGAAAGTCAGCTTTGCAAGATTTTTTTATACTCAAGTGGTAAAGCTGAGGAAGGCTTGTAGTAAACATTGATTAGAGGCAAATATCACATTTAGGATAGGTAAAATGAGCAGGTGGTTTTCTGAATAGCATTCCCTGGAAACTGCAGTAAGCATTCAGACATAGGAGTGTCTCAGTCTTGCCATTCTTCCCTTCCCATTTATGCTGTGTCAGCAGGAGTGTGTTTGTTCACCTACTTACTCCAGCAGGTGAAATTAATCTAATCCTGGAGAAAAAGTTACACATTAGTAAATGTTCCTGCAGGTCACACTTGTTGGGGCCTGGTGCATGCGTGACTGGAGAAACTCAAGCCCAGAGTGGTTTTAGGTAGTAGAAATTTCTGAAGTATTTTACAAAATCCCACCTGCATTCTTGAGAAGAAATCCCATATTTTTCAAACTGCTAAAAAAAAAAGGTTTTCTGAACTGTTCTAGTTCCTAATTTGTTTTAAACCACAAACTAAAAGTATTCCCCTTAATTTGAGCTAGGGAGGAGGGGAGCAGGAAAGGTGGCAGCAGTCTGCTGGCCATTTATAGAGCACTTGTTGTAGGCTGGAGCTGGTGGCTTGCTGTCAGTGACCTGCCAGGACTGAGCACAAAAATGCAGCTGTCTCTGGGGGTATTCCCAGGAGTGTGTGAAATAAGCAGGGCTGGAAATACATTTCTAAGTAAAATCCACTGCCCTTGATGCTGTAACAGAACAGCTGCTATGCTTCTTAAAAGTTGCTTATTTGTACAGAGTGCATATTTTTAATTGTTTCTCTTCTTTGTTTACCCACAAGCTCTGTTTATTGACAGTTTTTCATAAACAGATTTTTGTTGAGCCTTGAGGTGTTTATCTTAAAGGTCAAGTGAAATAGACAAGTCAGGGTAGTTACTGGATTGTGCCTTTGTAATTCAGACTTAGTGGATCTTGTGACCGTTGAGAAAGTTCTGGTTCCTCAACATATCAAAACATTTCATTCACTCCTTCCGTTTCAGATGTTGTCTCTGTTATATGGGGCTTTTTGAGGGCTGGGAAAGTGATGTGTTACTTTGACAGAAGTAGAATTTGGGGATTTTGCCAAGACTCACATTACAGAACCACACAACACTGTGAAACTTCTTAGCTTTCTTCAGCTGTAAGAAGAAATTTGAGATCTTGAAGATCAGGGACAGAGAAGAATTTTAATTCAAACTATCAATAGTTAGTGGAAAACACTGAAAATATTCTTGGGTTCAGTGGAGACATCTTAAATTGTTGAAGAAAAGCCTAACCAAAGAAACACAACAGCAAGAAACTGCCAAGGGTGCTGATTAATTGAAATTACTTGAATGGCAGAATGTGGTGCAGGAAAAGGCTCTTAAAGGCAGGCAGGTGAATCTGCTGCTTCTGTAGGATGCCTGTGAGCGTGGTGCTGCCTGCTGCTGTATGTGCTGGCTGTCAGTGCCTGCTGCAGCCAGAACAGCAAGCACAGAGCGGCTGTGGATCAGCCCCTGCCCAGGAATCCCCTGCTGAGGGGAGGTGTCTGACCATCCCCTGAGTGTCTGGTGGCAGTGCTGCACTCAGGCGTCCCTTGTGGTGGGGGTGTGCTGCAGGGGAGCACGCAGGGCATGAGCTCCAGCTCAGTGTTAATCTTCAACTTCAGAAAATGTTTCTGCTCTGATGTAGGAGGGGCGTGAGAGGGGTAAGGGCTCCAAACTCCAAGCCCTGTTCAAGAAAGCAGCTCAAGTTTTTTTGTCCTCATTTCTTCCCTGCTTCCATAGCATTTATCTCATTAATATAAGTCATACCTTGTGCTTTCTCTTGTGATTACTGTTGCTTGAAAACACGTTCTTGTGTAACCTGTCCAAAATAAATGCAGAAAAGTTTTCAAGAGAGTAAGCTCGAGGAGAACAGAAATGGAGGAGTTGCAGGAAAGGAAGTAAACTCTAAAGCCAGCTTCCCTCATTGCCTGCAGAGGCATGTTACCATGGAGTGGGGTCTGCTTGAACTGCAGGAAACGGCTTTCTGTCTCAGAGCTTCAGAAGCTTCAGGTCAAATTGTTTTGGGAGCTGACCTACGTGTGCTTCTCATGTGCTGTTCTTGTTTTGAACCTTCACATTACCAGCTCTTACTATTTCCATCCCTGGCTAAAATAAATATTAGCATATCTACCCTCTTTCTGCAACTCTTAATTTTAAATTAAGTCTATTTGTAGCTTACTGTTAGAAGCAAGTGAATTGCTCATTCAGAGCAGGCTGCTCTAGTGTCTGTGTCAGGCTGGAACTGCATGTGTGCAGCACCCACTGAAAGACTGTCTTTCATCTTCCTGTGATAACACTTCTTTCCAGACTGGCAAAGAAACTCAATAGCTTACCTCCTTTAAACCTTGAAAGAGAAAAGACTGCAGTCTAATGTTGGAGCTAGGGACAGGCAGGATGCCTTTAGGCTTAGTAATAGGATACCTCTAGGTCACTGGGTTTAAATGGAGTGTTAAGTGACCATCCAACTTCTACTTGGCAGCTCTACTCTCAGTTCACTTCGTGCAGACAGATTAGGTTTGTAGGATGCATTGCTGTATTTTTTCTATTCTCTGTGGTAGAGGAGTCATCAGACTACCCTCCTATGAAAATTTATAGGATATCTTGAGTCTTAGCTATTACTCCTAATTTGGACTGATCTCTCCTTTTCATTTTGGAAAAAAAGCTAAAAGTACTTGAACGGGCTTACAGCTTATTAAAGGGTTTGGAGGTGTTTGAGCTTCTTGCCTTAGAAAAAAAATAGCTGATAACTGTCTTGTCAGAATCAAGCACTTCCTGTTATGTATATATTATATATATTTATTAGGGGAAGCAAATATGGGCCCTTTGACTTTAGTACAAATTGTATTTATGTGTTAGTGGATTTCAGACTGAGCTGTAGTTAGCATTAATACTTGAACTGAAATCAAGGTTTGCTTCTTTGGCTTGGATTGTTTATTTGTTTTTTAAAGGAGATAGGTAGTGTCTTGGCCATAGTTTTAAGAAGGGTGTTTAGCAGTGTTAAGAACACTGATCTCTGAAAAGGTTCAAGAGACTGTCTTGGAACTCAGAATTAGTGGATTTGCTGGTTTCCCCTCCAAGGCTGTAGTTGCAGAGCTGGGACTGCAGACATTAATAACTGAGTTCTGAAGGCCAGGAAGGCTGTGAGCAGAGCAGGGCAGAGTGCTCTGGCTGCACTGTGGTTGAGCACAAGGGCAGGAACTGCTGTCAGCACAAGTTGTGCATGGCTTGCTTTGGTTTGCTCTCAGGAATGAGAGACAGACTGAAGCAAACCCAGCAAGTCTTCACCTGCTCAGCCACCTGAGCTCTTCTGGCTTTGCAGTTTCTACTCTGCAGTACCTGGTCAGCCTTGCTGAAGTGGGCAGAGCTTGGGAAGCACGTGGACAATCGCTGCTTTTGTGATGCAATGACCGAAATACAGTCAGGCTTTTGAAGATGTTACTAAATTGCAACACCAATTTAGTTTTTTTACGCATAGTCCTGTGTGCATATTGCGTAAATCTTTTCTGCCCTTAAGGATTTTTGGCACCTTTTTTGTGGTCAGGAGCACATTAAACATTAAAGAAAAAGGTAAAATTTATCATAAGAAGTTAAACATTGAAGCTACTGAGCTTCTTTCCAGAACTGATTTGAACAGTGTGTACTATGCACCTTCGCTACATTTTGTCTGTTTAAATTTTCACTTCAAGTTGTGGGGTTTGCAGACTGGCTTAGCAGTTTGCTTGCCTTCAAGGGCACATAACTGTCATTGTCACACATGTTCCCATTGGTTCTTCACTTTTTGCAGTGGGACTGTGTTGACTATGATGTCAATTCTGTGTGAATGTACCCTTCAGTTTCTTTCTCTTGAAAACATGTTCCTGTTTCTCTTTGCAGATGTGGAGGTACTGTTGGTGCAATTCTGACATGTCCACTGGAAGTTGTAAAAACACGCCTGCAGTCCTCCTCTGTGACTCTCTACATCTCTGAAGTTCATCTCAACACACTGAATGGTGCTACTGTCAACCGAGTAGCCAGAGTTTCTCCTGGACCTCTCCACTGTCTGAAGTGAGTGTACCTGGCACAAGGGTTTGGCTTCATTTTGGGGAGAGAGGAGATCAAAATCTATATCAAGATTCAGACTTTTAGATCTGTCATTATGCTACCAGGAGATGATTTTCCATTTTTTGCCTTTTAACTGTGTTTCCAAATTTTTTTAACTTCCTTCATGTGCTGGAGTTTGGATGTTGAAGTAGCCAGAGCACATGTACCTTGTACAACTCACAGCTCCAAACTGCATCCCCAAAATTCACTAATGCTCAAGTGCCAGACTCTTATTTTCATCCTGAAAAAGCTTTAGTATAAGACTTTTTTTAAGCTGTTTTGTGTCCTAATCATAGAAGTTACTGAATGTGGAGGCAATTAAAATTAAATCAGTTTCTTAGTCTCTTTCAGCTTTCACCACCCCCACACAGTTTTTGTCTTTGAATATCTTCTGTTGGATATGTGACTTGTAACATTCTTTTAGAGCTAGTAAGAAATAGCTGAGGCTGGCTCTTGCAGTGATCTGTGGTTTTTGTGTAGTGCCTGACTGAATGGGAACTGCCTTTCCTCTCCTTGTTTGCAGTGCTTGTGTAGTTCAGGAGCCAGCAGGGAAGTTGTAATCCTGCAGTTGAACTGCTTGTATGGCCCACAGGGAGGGTTCACTTTTCCCTGGGGGACTCAGGGTAGCCAGTTCAGGGGAGGGGAGGTACCCTCAGCATTTGGGGATGGCAGGACATTTCCTACAGGAGGGACCTGCTGCTGCTTCTTGCATTAGAAAGTTGGTTGAGTCTTGACAACTTCTATTCTTAATTAATTAGTAACAAGTAGTTTGTGGGGAGCTCCTTCTGGCAGTTGAAGTGTAGTGTTTAAACTTAATCTGGTTAGAGCATAGGATTTGCTTAAATAGGGATTGTACCCATATAGCTCCTAGAATGGAAGATCATTCTTATCATGAAAGTTTGGGTTCAGAGCCTTTTCATGGCTCTTTATTCAGGCTCTGATGGGTGAACATGTTGGGAACAGGTGTATGGGAAGGAAAGGCTTGGATTGTGACCAGCAAGGAGATCTGCTTGACTGAGTGGCTTCTCTTGATGGAAGTAGAGTGCTTCAGCTTCTTTCTGAATGCTTGGTTATGAATTTACTTTCCATTTAGAAATGTATATCAATGAATAGCAGGTTGAATAGATGCATTTTTGTAATGCTTCTCTGCTAGAAGTCTGCTATGCCTTAAATGAAACTGAAAATAACTTGGTATTCCCAGGAAGCAGATTCAGACTGAGGTAGAGGTAGCCCATGATGAAATTTATTGGCTTGTTTGTTTTGTTAGTTTGTCTTTAACGATTGCCCTCTCACACATGTTCATCTGTAATACAAGAATGTACCTCTTCTGCTGCTTTTGTCCTTTGCTTAGCTGTGTTTTCTTTCAGGCCATTTTCAAAGGGCTGAGATGCAAAGCCTGGCTTTCAAGTTCTTTAAATACAGTAAACATGAAAAAATCCCAAATGACATGGCAGTGGTCTGTGATAATAAAAACACATACATGCAGGACATAATTACTCTTGGTCAAGGTTAGGGCTGTTTAGTGGGGAAATAAAACTGGATTCCTTTGTCACTGTCAGGCCCTTACTGTCATTGGGTATTTTTTGATTCATAGTTGTCAGACTTTGATTGTGTCATAGCAAATTTGGTGCAGTGCTCAAGGCTCACATTACTCAGTCTAAAAGCAGAGTGATTCAGGCAAATTCTGTCAGAATTTCAGTGAATTGACTGCTGTAGAATCACTTCTGCATCCTAAGCATCAGTGGAGGTGACTTGAAAGGCATCTCTGTCAGGAAACAAACTCAGAAAAACAGGTGACTCTATTCTTTGGCAACAAAAGCAAATTCTTTTGTTCTCTTATGTCTGCGTTGCATGTCATATTACATTTTCCATCATTCATGTTGCACAATTTAAACCTGAGCTCTTGCTAATGGAAATCTCATGAGCCTCCCAGTGCAGGCTCTCCATGTGACATAAGACAGTCAGCTGAGGCTGTATGGAGCACTTTCCTGCTCTTCCAACCATGGACTTGCCCTGAACTGCTCTCAATAAACAAGTGCAGGCCCTGGGATCTGCTCTTCAATGCAAGAAGTTTGTGTCTTATTTTCATTGCAGCCTCTGGCACTCTTCCAGCTCGTGTCTGAATGCAAAACAGCATCAGTAACTACCTCCATTATCATCCTGTCTGTTGCAACCTCTCTTTAGCTCTTTGCTGCTCTGTCAAATTCTGGGACTGCAGATCCAAAATAAGCAAACAGACCTGGTACACTTCATTCCTAACTTCAAAGACACTGAGATTCCTGTTGCATTGAATACATGTCTAGCTATATGTGCATATATACATGTGTAACACATGATGTGGTAGTAGTGGTTTAAGTGGATACAGGTCCTGTTAATTGGGTTCAGCATTGCAAGGCATTAAAATGCTTTCATCATGACAGACAGGTCCAAATCATTTGTATTTCCAAGGTGTCTTTGAATGTGTGTTCAGTATTCCAGTTACTGCTGTGCAGTGATGCTGCCCACATAGTGAACTCACAGCAGATTGTTATGGCCCAAAAGCTGGGATGTTGCTGGACACATGAAATGTCAGTATTCCTGAAGAGCAGCGGTAACTGCAGAGCCACTGGTTTATTTTTGCTTAGTGGAAGCAAAGGTAAACTTTTAATTTGACTTAGCAGCAGAGCAATGGTGAATCAGTGCCATTGAAATCAGGAAGTCAGAATAGGCTTGGAATATCTTTTAGTACTGTAGATTGCTTTCACTTGTTTGTTCTGATAGTAAATTCCAAACAAAATGGCCATTTATACAAGGCTTTATTGAGTAATTGACTTGTCATTAACCTGCATGGTTCTTTGAAGAAGAAATATACAAAACTATTTGTGTACCTTTACCATTGTTTCTAAATCAGTAAGCACAGGATTCTGTTTTGTAGCATCTGGGGATGTAGTTAATTCTTAACTTTAAATCTGGTTCTAAAGTAATTGCTAGAGCAATTCCCAGTAATGGGATGCAGGTAGTCCTTGTTTCTCCTCCCATGTCCTACCATACTTTTTAAAATACCAATGTGATTAGCATCTAGATTGTGGGGCAGACTGATTTCACTAGAACTGAATATTCATGCATAGTCTCTTACTGTGCCAGGGTACCTTGCTGCATAGGTCTCCAGCTCTTCCTAAAATCCCCAACCATGTGTGATCCATATTGCAGAACTAAAGGACTAATAATGCCTTGTTTGAAGTCTCAACTCACTGCTTGTACCATGCTTTCCTGTAAATTCCACAAATGTGCAAGGTTGCCCTCCCACTCCAAGTTCATAAACCCTGGGAGCTGAAGGGTGGTGAAAGCAATGTAGTGCAGAATTAAGTGTTTTTGCTGCTGAACAATCTACAACCTGCACGAATGGCAATGTTTCCATGCTTAGTGTTTTCTCCCTGAATCAAGGACACTTTCTTTAACTTCCTAACAGCCAACTCTGTACATGTATGTGTTCCTACATATAAGTTAAATCTGTATCAAGATCTCAAGTCTTATTTCTGCATTTGGTTTATGGTTTTCATGGTATTTTGAGCAATAATGGAATTTTTAATGCTGATTCTAGGAAATGACTAATTTTCTTTGTGTTCTTCTCTGTTTTATTGCCAGTAGTTATGAAAGTTTTTCACATGATGTAGTTCTGGTGGTTAGTGCATTCCTTAATTTTGCTCTGAGTGTTACAGTATTGTCTTCTTGTTTTCTAGGATGATCTTGCAAAATGAAGGTCCTCGTTCTCTGTTCAGAGGGCTGGGTCCTAATTTAGTTGGTGTTGCTCCTTCCAGGTAAGTACAAATATTACAAACGTGCACAATAAATAAATACATTAAAGGCTTTAATGTGTATTTGAAATAAGTCTTGCATCTGCAGTTGTAAATACTAAATTAGCAGCAAGTAACCTTTGGTTCCTGGGGTAACTTTTTGCCTGAGGAATTGAGCCATTTAAGTACTCCAGAGCTCCAGCTGTCTCAGCATTTCCTATCCTATGTGCTATTGAATAGTATTTACTGTTGTGTGCTACCCCTTATGCAGAGTTTTGTCCAGTTAAAAAGAAAAATTCTTAAGGAATTTCACATGTAAGCTACAAGTTTGGATCTTGGAAAATACAAAGGTAGACTTGACTTTCAGTTAATCCATCATCTTCAGGAAGCAATTATGTGATTGTAGCCTCAAAACACAAAACAGGGTCTTCTTCCTGAGTTCTGGTGAAGCACAGCCTGGTGCTCCCTTGCAGGAGGAAGCCTGTTCTGATATAAAAAGGATGAGACACTGGGTAGGAGGAGAGACTTTGCAGCTGTCCCAGTGAAAGCTGGGATCCAGCAGTGTCTGGGCCCCAAAGGGTACTGGGGCAGTGCAGGATGTAAATCTGATCTAGTTGGCACTGGTGGTGGTGTTGTCTGTTGCTCTGCATCAGCACAAATACTCCAGTTCCTCAGCTGCTGCTGGCAGGCAGAGAGAGAACATTTTGCCAGAGTTTGAATTTATCCTTACATAGAGCTGTCAGCTGAAGTTCAGTCCAAAAATGGCAGAATACATGGAAAGAGTATAAAACAAAGCTGTGTAAAATTAATATATTCTTTAGGCCTGGATGAGGATACTGGAAGTTGTTTCCTGGCTCCTTTTATTTTTTCTTCTCTGTTTAAGAGAAGAGCCTTTATGCAGAAGGAATATATTCCACAAAGGTTTTATTTTTTCCTTGACTTAGTGTCTTGCTTTTGTTTATTTGTTTTGTTTGAAGAGAAAACATTTCTATCTCCTGCACCTTCAGTTGGAGATTATCTTAACTTTAGTGGTTTGAAGTATTTGGATATTTCTGAGAAATACTACTAAGCTGAACTTTAGTTCTGATGAGGTCATGTTCTTTAGATCATCTGCATAAATAAGAAAAACAATTAATGAAAGAATTAGGTTATCTTTATTTTAGCAGGTTTTTTAAGGATTTATATCAGAGGTGCTTTCTGATCACTAACTTAGCACTGCCCTTCGGAAAAGCTGAAGTAAACCCAGCAGCATTTTTGTTCTTGACACCTATGGGATATCAGTACTTGGTAGTCTGGAGAGCCTGTGCTTTTGTACAATAGATCAGTCTGTTCTACCAAATATTCAATATTGATATCTTTATTGATACTTGATATTGATACTTTAATAGCAATTTTAACCCAGGAATTGGATCCATTGCATAAGTGAATTCTTCTTCTCCATGACATGAAGAACATCCTCAGTTGGAAAAAAAAATATATTTCTTTTCAATTAATTATATGTTAAATCTTCTGTTTCCCTTTGGCTCTTCCCCTAGGTGAAATACTTAGCTTGCTAAAATGTCTGCTTGATGTAGTGTGTAAACCTTATTTATAAGCACATCTTCATTTCCCTCTGGCTGATTCTGTCTGCAACCAGTACTTCATTTCAATTAAGCATTAGCTAAGTGGTTTTAACATCAGCTCTTTGTTTAAATAAGCTGTAGAGAAGCATATTTCATAACACATCCAGTGTACTTAACTGAGTTCAGGTTCCATTTTAGAAATTACACCCATAAAGCAAGCACTTTATCTTTTTTGTAATAAAGAAAAACATGTTCACACAGCTAATGAGGTTAATGTTCTGCTTGGGAAAATGGCACATTGGTTTTTTTTCTCTTGCAGAGTAGTGTCTGTAGATTTAAAACAACTGAATTACAACCTGAAGTGTGAGGTTTATATGTGCTTAAAATAAGTTTTTTAGATTTAATGACTGAAAGCAACCATTTTTTGTAATATATTGAATTGGGTTGCTGACTTTGCCTAGCTTCGTTTGGACAGCTCACAGACTTGTGTAGCACAAGTTTACAACATTTTTCATGGTGTGTTGAGAGACAAAAATCAGTGTCTATTATAAATACAGAAGTCTGGAAACAAAATGTGAATCACAGCTTCAGAGCTGTTCTAGCATTTAAAGTATAAATATTTATAACATCAAGTTATCAACATTTAAATGTTAAATGCTATAGTAATAGGAATGTTGTTTGTTTCTTTTAAGAAGCTGCATACTTGGTAGTTCTCTTCAAATTGCCCTGCTACTGAAATGAATTTAGGTCCATTAGAGAAAGTTTGTTCTATTATTTATGTTGAAGAATACTGAAACTTTTTCAGTGTTTTTCTTCTCTGGCTGAATTTACTAGTGTCACAAAAATCACTGTCATATTTCAAACTATCTGTCCTTCCCCTCAGTAATTGGTAATTGGAGCTGTTGCGTGGAAAAAAGTCAAGTGTCATGTTGAGTCTTTATTTCCATTCCTAGAATAGTCCCACTACTTTGCAAGAATTAATCCTTGAGTAGTTCTTTACTGGGGAAGGGAGTTTTAGCCCAGTGAAGTCAATGGTGCTGCTTGTTGAGAACTTTGAAATGTAAAACATATTATAACTTGGATTTTGTTCTAATTTTAGAGCAATATATTTTGCTGCTTACTCAAATTGCAAGGAAAAGTTGAACAATATTTTCAATCCAGATTCTACCCAGGTACACATGATGTCAGCTGGTGTGGCAGGTAAGGATCTGTAACTTTGTAGTTTCATCCTACAGTCATATCTGCAAATGAGAGGTGACAATAAATATGGAAAAAAAACCCCAACAAAACAGAACGTGCTCAGTAATTGAATGATGCCTTTTTAGTGGTTATCTGCCTTGGCCTGGCATTAAACAGGCTCTCTGGAAAATGTATGCATGAAACTGCACTAAGTGATAAATAACTGTGAGCAGCCTTCTCTAGAAAACATCCATGCCTGCTTTTTCAGTTGTAAATTTGTGAAATGAAAAATGTAACCTTTCAAAACAGTAACTTGTTGCTCTGTAAGCTATAAACAGTGTTTGCACTGACTCCTGGTTTAATTCTTCCTAATCAGTTTTTTTACCCACTCTGCTACAGCTTTGTATATTTTAATTATTTTTGTCTTTCAGAAATGTGCCTGCAGTTATTTGTGTAAATTATATGTAACAATTCGTCCTCCTTTGCTCATTTACCAGTCTATGAGAAGTTTGCTCTGCCAGTAAAAAGTCAGAGAAGAGCAGATTTTTCATAGTTCTCATGTATTTTCATCTCTGCAGATTTTATATCTGCAGTATAACTTTGGTGTATTTTAGCAGCTACAAATATTTGTTGCTTGATTTGATTATTCTGTGCTTTGGGGTCATTAACAAGGGAGAGTTAAAGGCAACTGAGCTGAGTTATGGTCATGGACTTGTGCTGATAAAATCAAAATATGGGTTGGCAATGCTTTATCTGTTGTTGCCTGTGCCTTTTCCTGCAAAAAAGCAAATATTGAGGTTTTTTATAGGCCATGGGCACTTTACAGATGAATTCTGACAATTGTTGAAGTTCCTAAGTCCTGTCAAATTTTACAGCCAGTCTGTGAGTACTGGCAATCTGGAATGGACTGATAAAGGTGTGATAACAGAATAAGGTATAGGATTTATTTTCTATTTCTATGCTTGCTAATAATCCGATACATAGAGGTACATAGTGTATGAAATCTAAGTGACATTAGCTTTATACCTAAAAGACAGTAATGTTCATCTCTGGCACATGAAATGTGACAGTTTTTAATCTTTAGGGTATAAGAAGAGCTCCTTTATTTTGCCCAAGTAGACAAAGACAAGGCAGTACTTGATCTTATCTAGAAGTGAGTGGTTTTGTTTATTGGTGAACAGCATGGGGAATGGGATAGAAGGGATTTAATGAAGAGTTCAGCCTAATCAGTTAATTGCATCAAGAAAGATGAAGAGTCTTCAGGTCCTTGTCAAGGGAATAAAACATGTCCTCGATTTGGGGGCAGGGGGAAGCGTGGGGACTGTAAACAGGTCTGTCCTCAATTGAAGGCAACTTGTGCATCTCATGCAATGCTGCAGACAAATGAAGATTCTGAGTGTTCCTCATTTTTGGAAGTTGCTGCCCTATTCTGTAAAGCACATTTGTGGGGATGTGCTGTAGTGCCTTTTCCTGGGTGTTTGCAGCCTCAGGCTGTGGTTTGTCATGGAGCTCTGTAGCTGCTTCCCTTCAGAAGGTTGGTGTTGTGCATTTGTACATGCAGCTGCAGTGAACTGGGAAATGAATTTCAGCCTTCATTGCTGTTTGCCTTTTTTTACTTCTGTGTACAAGTTCTAACATTGAACAGCTCTTGGGGCTGTTAACCTCACACTTCCCAGGTTCTGCAGTTGTATTTCTAAACCACAGTCAGTGGAACAGTGCTCAGTGCAGGCTCACACCATAGGTCTTGGCGCTGCACAATACAGAAATTCTCAAGTTCTTTGACAAACATTTCAATTCTCTCTTCTGGTGTTATTCTGATATATGACAAGGACTCTGCAGTTAAAATTAACAGTGCTTTCTTGGGAATGTGCTAACCTTGTTTTTGTAATTCTAATATATTTCAGAAAATGCACTTAAACCAGCTATTAACAGTTTTACCTGCAAGGTTTGTATTGCTGTATAATGCAAATCACCTTAAAGAAATGGCAAAATAATAAGCCAAGATCAAATGTGAGCTCTTACTTGGTTGACAGGTTAATACATAGGATTATTGCAATATTTGATTTGGAACCTAAGATTTCAAAATTGGTGAGGTGGATAAATACTTCAGAATTAGTAAAAAATAATCGGTGTTGGTGTTTTTCTCTTTTAGCTGCCATTGGTTTCAGTAAGGAATTAAGTAATTCAGTCTTAAATGAGGGTTATTGTTTTGTTGGTGGTTTTTTGGTGGGTTGGTATTTTTATGGATATGACCTTCCTGTTTCATGAAGTCTAATATGTATTCAGCATGAAGTGAGATTTGCGCTTACAAAGCTTTTCCTGTAGGTTGCAAAATACAGTAATGATGCAAAAATATGTTTTTAAACAACATAATTGTAACATTGTTTTATTAAAGTACTGCAAATAGTGAACTTCAGCCAACTTTAAATTCTGTTTATTTGTATAATATGCTAACACACGTCTCAGGCTAGACTGATGTCATTATTAAATAAGGATGCTTTTGTGCACTTTGGTGTTTTTGGGAGTGAAAAGCTGATGTATAGTATTTTAAGCATATTTTTTTTGTTGGTTGGTTTTAGGCCTGATTCTTCATTCTCAAAATATATATTTATGGTTTGAAGGTTCTTCTACTAAGTTTATTTTATTTTAAGGAGAGTAAAGTATCTGCATATTAGTAACTGATGCCTTATGCAAACAGAAATGAATGCTGTCTTCTTGCTGTGTTAGTTTCCAGCATATAGAGCACATCCCCTTCATACCTAAAATATCTGTGTTGACATGAAGTACTCAGCAATCCTTTTTGCTTACTCTTGAGCATAAACATGGTTCTCTTTTTGCAAACTAGGGCAGGGAAAATATCTGAGCTTGGTACAAGAATGTTTGCTTGTGCAAAGACAGTTGATTTCTGGACATTTTTCCAAGTTAGGCTAAATTCTCAGATTCACTGTAAACTCTGCCTTCTCATTGCACTCAACCTCCCTCACCACAGAGAAGAAAAGCTGTAGAGAACTGAATGAGATACTTGATTCCTGTATGGCTTTCTTGTTTGCTTTTTTAATGATTCACAGCCTCAGTCAGACAACATGGTTGCAAATCTGCTGCAAAACTACTTTGCCTTGTATGCTTTTGCTGGTTTTTTTCTAGAGTTTTACTGGCAAACCAACCTAAATGCAAATTTTAAAAATTATTATTTATTTATTTAAAAATAATTGGGACTACTTTATTACTTAGAGATACATTACTTTGTAAGTTTCTAGTGCCATGTACACAGTTAATTCATGCCAAATAAAATGCATATTTAGTTCACTGATCTTAGAAAGTTGGATTTCATAAGGCATCTTTTCTGTCCTAAGACTAGGCTAGCTTTAGTGAATAGGATTTTCAAGGGAGTGGGGAAGGAGGAGGTTTCACTTCTAAATTTTCTATATAGGTAAGTATTTGGAGGTATAAAATTAAATTGCTGCAAATGAGCAGAAATTTCAGTACTCAGTGCATTTTACACATCTATTTTAATATCTGTGGCCTGTTTTGATTATTTTTCTTTCTTTTTTTCCTAAACTTTTACCTGCAAACAGTTAGATTTCCCAATAACTGACAAATCCTTCCGCTGGGATTCGATTTGTACACTTGTGTCTGATGAGGTCACTGCTTGTTGTTATGATACAGAAAAGCCTGTGTCTATTTTAGGCATTTACTGTACATTTCTCCCGTGAAAAGAGTGAGATCGTGTCATCTCATGCTCCCCCTCCGCAGGTCACTTCCTGCAGCAATATGGACTAACTTAAACCTCGTGAGTACTGAACTGAGCGTCTCTTGCAGCCTCTAGTGTAAGAACCACACCTTGGGTTTGTGATATTACTGAATAAGCACCGTAAGGGGAACACACTTGTAGCTTGAACTCAGATGATGTGCATTGTGCAAAGACATCACTTTTGCTTAGCTCTGTTTAGAGTGATTTTTTTTTTTTTCTGTGCCGTTCAGGGAAAGGTAGGAAATACCTTTCACTGAGAGCTGCTACTCCACTTAGCTCTGGTCAACTGAAAGCCCCTACTGGGTTAAACAAGGCATTTTGAGAGGTTTTTTTCCCAGTATCCCAGAGCTGCCTTTAAAATGCTGCAGCTGATATTCTGTGTTGTCACATTTATTTCAAAGACCTCTTTTCTTTTTCTTTTTTAATATGTGTATATAATCCTTTCTGTCTCTTTCTGTTTACTCTTTTGGTTTGTTTTTATTTTACTACTTTTAAATTTTAATTCATCATTCCATGTTCACATGCGTCTGTATCAATTACATTGGCTTATAGATTAAAAAGCACCAACCCTATCCTTTTGAAATATGATACGTAATAGGAATACCTGGGATCTTACCTGTCGGTAGCTGAAAAAGTAGATGGAGATAATTCTGTCTGAAGCTGGGATAAAATAAAACTACAGAAGTTTGTAGTATTGCCAGATTTATCTGTACTTGTCATGAATCTGGGATCTTTCTTGAGGGTGCAACACATCAATAGGTATTGTGAAGTATTATAAAGATCATAAAGGCTTTTAAAAAGAGAAAAGGAAACAATTGATGGATCTTCATGGCAGTTGTTGAAAGCCCTCAAAGTTTGTTTTTAAGAAAATTTTTGCTACAGATTTTCTGTATTTAAAAATCAAAGTTTATCTTCTCAAGGATCCTAAATCATATGTTTCATGTTTTGGAGGGCTTTCCTTGGTGTCAGCACCACACAATTCCTTCTTCAACTAACTGCATTTGCTACATTAGCTGTAAGAATTGACCTGTAGTCATCTCACCTTGAAACCTGAATTATTGAAGGCCCTTTGATTTGAAAACTTTGGTTTGAACTGTCAGCTTAGGCCTGTAAAAGCCATGGGACAAAATACTGGCCATGTTGCTGAGTGTCTGCTCCTACTGTTGGAGGTGCTGCATCTAAATAATTCTTAGTGACCCCAGTTTTGAGTAGAATAGGGGCTGCATCCTGTGCCAACCACTTTTCACTGGAAATTTCCAATATACTCTACTCAGCCACTGATGGCACCTATGCATTGCCTGCTCCAGATTCAGGATTTGCAGACAGCCTTATTTTGAGTTGAATATGAAGGAGAAAGGTGGTATGTTACAGCCTAAGAGTTATAAAATTCTTCCTTTAATAGGAATGCAAAAGGATTTTTGCCTTTGTTAACTTGTAATTAAGAACTAGGAGAGACTAAAGAACTAATTTTGGTTTTACACAAGTCTTTCATGGAAGATGTCTTGCTAGGGAAAGGGAGTGATTTTTTCCCCCCACCTTATTTCAAAGCCTTTGTTACAGTTCTGTGCATTTCCTAGTGCACTTCATGCCACAAAGATTCTGATTGGGAGTCAAACAAAATTAAAACTTTTAGTGCCAGTGTAAAGAAATAAAACCATGCAAGAATGAAGTTTCCTTTCAGTGTAGATGACTCAGGCTCAGGCACTACTGGAATCAGTGGAGTTTCTGTGACATGAAGTGACAGGTCAGACAGGTTATGGCTGCTTGAGCTACAGAGCCTGTTTTGCACACGTGGTATTTTAAAAGCATCTCGTGCCTTGTTTTGGCAGAGTTGTTCCCCAGTGCTTTGAGTTTTTACATCATTATTTACCGTCATTAAATAGAGATAAAGAACTCTTGGATTGTTAGGATTTCACTGCATTATGTGAAGATTATATCTCAGTACTTCTTTATAGGAAGAATGAGTAGTGAATCAGAAAAAAAAGCCAATTCCAAATCTTTATTATCTACCATAGGAAGTTGCTTAGTTAAGTAGTTTGAGCCAGTTTAAAAATCTGTTTAATTAGAAAATTGAACAGAACCCTCCAATCTGTTTTCATTCTTCTCAGCTCAATCTTAGTAGCTGCCAAATCTGTTAATTTTTTTTAAGAATCTGAATTGAAAACCATCATGACCTGTTTAAGCTTTGAGGGTGGGCACAGATCAAACCTTAGAACAGTTAAGATCCCCTGGCATTTCTGAGTATTGCAGACCTTTGTGTGCAATGTAAACCTAGATCGTGATTGAGCAGGAGTAACATGTATGCAACCAGTTCTGCTAAAGCTGTTTCTGTGAGCTGTTGGTGATCTGGTAGAAGAGCTTATCAATAGCCTGTTGCTGGATAAGTGCTGTGCCCCAGCCATGCACTGAGCAAGGTAACTGTCCTTCCCCACACACCCAGTCCATCCCCGTGCAGGAGGGCAGTGTGTCTTTGTAGTTATAAACCAGCCATGTGTGTCATTTAGAGAGCAAGTGTCTAAATTTATCATCTCTTGCCTGGCCATGTTCCAGCTTTTCCCTTTTCCTATTCTCTCCTGCAGACATGACACCTCATTGATGGTGCATGTGTGGTATTGCAGCTTGAGATGATTTTTTTAATTTTACTTTTTTTCAGAGCTGCCTTTCACTCTGCTTTCTCTCTCTCTCCACAGTTGTGCAGAAGTAAGAGTAATTCTTACTTCTTTTTTTTTTCTTTTTTCCTTTTTTCTTTTTTGTTTCCTTTTTTCTTTTTCTTCTGTTTTCTTTAGTGGACTGAAAATCAAAGCTTTAATCCTTGGCCCTTATGCAAGCCTGAGTAGTTGCTGTCTGTCTGAATAGCTAGAAGTCATAGTATTTACTTTTAACAATTTAAACACTCATATGCATATAAAAGTATCCCAAGGCCAGCCAACAATCTCTGCTTTGAACACTAAATAAAAGATTAGCACTCAAATATAACTGCTCTTTATAGTTCAGTATTAAAAGGTCTCCTAATTTGCAGTAATAAATGCCTTTTAACTGCACCAAAAGTAGTATTTATTCAGTCTGCATGCTTTTAAACTCGGATTGTATTTCAGGTAACAAAGTAAATTGAGGCAATGTTTTATAGCATCTCAAATTGCTATTGCTCTCTCTGCAATGCATTCTTATTGACTTTTTTGCCCAATTGGCTGATACTTGTCTAGTTGGCATTGCTGTTCTGTGGTGTCAAAACAGGGTTGGTATTAAATAGGCAGAGAACTGTACTTAATTTGGCTTTTTTTATACGGGGCATCTTGTGCTAAGAATCAAACTTATTCAATATTAAAGTAAAATTTAAAAACAATTTAAGTGTTTATTGGCTGTATGGATTCACAAAATGGGGACTCCAGCAAAATCAGTGTAGTCCGAGTTTTTGCACCCACTGTGTCTTAACTGTGTGCATTTGGAATTTAGATGCATCTGTTGTTGTGATATTATCACATCTAATTATGTTATTTTTACATTTTTTAGGCTTTACTGCGATCACAACAACTAATCCCATTTGGTTGGTGAAGACACGATTACAGCTTGACGCAAGGTAAAGTGACAAGAGGAACTCTCGCTGCTGTGACAACATTGTACTAAAGTCTGGTGAATCTGTTCTGCACTCCAAAATAGAATCAATTCTTAAACATTCAGCATTTCAGATTTGCAAAGGTGATGCTGGTCTCTCTACAAGTTACACTATCGCTTCTTTTTTTAATCTGTTCTGAGACATGCTTGAGGCACTGTAGTGGACTGACCAGCAAATTTGTAATGAATTATAAGGTTAACAGTTTCATTAAAATCGCATTCTACCAACCATATGCTTACATTTTCAATCAGTAATACATTGTCTTTAACTGTTGAGCTAAACATTCCTGAAATATGGACACAGTATTATAGCAGATATTTAGAAAAGGCCTTAAACATCCTCAGGTATTTATTTTTATTCTGTGACTTGCTCACTCAGACCTCTGCTGGCACAATCCATGTGCCTGCACTTGCAGCTGTGGTGAAGCACATCTCTACAGTGTTGTCATGTGTTTGCATAGTTGTGTACAGTATTCTAACTACTTCAGTATGCACAACTCAATTTAGTGAGCCAGCTCAAAATGGGAATAAAACTTCATTTGCCAAATACTGCTTTAAATAGGTGTGTCTAATGAGCATTTTCCTTGACATCAGCAGTGGCTTAGTTCAATCAGACAACAGCTGCCAGTGTTGCACTGGTTGCTGTGCCTGTTGTTTGCTGAGAGCTGTAATGCTGAGGGCTGCTCTTTTAGCCACTGAATGCTGTGGAGCTCTTTATTGAGGCAACAATTAGGGCAAATCCATTATGCTAAAGGAAATGGTCATTTTTCTCATGAGTTGCTGACATTGATAATCCATTTGGGAGTCTGTTTCCAAGCAGTTTAGTCCTTTATTGTGTGAGAGTTGGGGAGGCCTAAAGCCGCTCAGTGTTTCACTGTGATACTTTGTCCTTAGTCAGTGTGTGAAGTTTGGCTTGGATTCCCTGTAATACTTTCCCTGTGTTTAGTGCTGAAAGCCTTTGAGACTGTGACTTGGAGCCCCTCAGCATCAGTGTTGAGTATTTCCTAAGTCTTATTGTCACTACAAAGCTGTTTAATTAATTTTCCAGTCTCTCTGGTTGCAGACACTCTGACTTGTTTTCTCCTTTGTAGGAATCGTGGAGAAAAGCGAATGAGCGCATTTGAGTGTGCCCGCAAAGTTTATCGCTTGGATGGCTTTAGAGGCTTTTACCGGGGAATGTCTGCGTCCTATGCAGGCATATCTGAGACTGTTATTCACTTTGTCATTTATGAGAGTATTAAGAAAAGATTACTGGAATATAAGACTGCTGGTGCCATGGACAATGAGGAAGATTCAGTAAAAGAAGCATCGGACTTTGTTCGAATGATGATGGCTGCCGCCACTTCCAAAACGTGTGCAACATCAATAGCATATCCCCATGGTAAGTGGGATGTGTGCAGCTGAGACCCTGAGGCAGATCCATCAAAGGGAGTCTAAGTGAGATTTGTAGCCAACTTTGGTTTTCTTGCTCAGAAACATTTCCCTGTCTGAATATCAGATGTAGCAGGTCAACATAAGTATAGTATTCAGAAATGGAAGTGCTTTACAGTGGATATCCAGCATGACCTTTTCTTAGGCAATGTTTATTTTGCCATGGGATTGGCCAGGGTATGGCCCAAGGTACTCCAAGAGGTAGTTGTTCAGTTGGAATCTTTCTGTATACTCAGCAGTTTTCCATAATGTGCCATCTCTTCTAGGGATGTAGGCTGCCTAGCTTGTATGTCAGTTGCACTTGATCTTCCTGCAAAGTAGTTGTGTATACATTGTTAATGAACTGAGTACTGAACTTCTGTCAACTTCTGAGCTAAAATGTAACCCCAAGCAACAGTCCTCTTTTGGATTGTAGCTAAGCAAATGAACTTGCCTTGTTTAGTCAAATACCTAATATTTGCTCTCTTCTTACACATACTTGGTTTGCTGCTCTTTGTCTTCCTCTTGCTTTTTTTAAAGAGCAGTTGTGAGACTGAGAACCTGGGGAGGGGTATTTTTGTGTAAAAATCCTTGATCGGTTGCTGGGAAAAATAATGAGAAGTGGTGAATGTAACCACTCAATTTTTCTTTTTTGCACTGGTTTTCTTTGTCCAGAGGTTGTACGAACAAGACTAAGAGAAGAGGGAACAAAATACAGATCTTTCTTCCAGACACTGTCTTTGCTGGTGCGAGAGGAAGGGTACGGCGCCCTGTACCGAGGGCTGACTACACACCTGATCAGACAGATCCCAAACACGGCTATCATGATGTCCACCTATGAAGTTGTAGTCTACTTACTTGATGGATAGCAGTGTGCCAAGGTGGAAGAAGGTGGAAGACTGAAGGACTGGAGTGGACCACTGAATGTCAATGCCAATGTGGTGGGCTAAAGGAGCATTGTATTGGGAGCAAGCAACTGTGGACGAAACAGAAGGTTGATTGTGGGCAACTCTGAGTAATTTTGCTGCCTTTATTGTGTGGTCTCATGTCAATGTGACAAATGGGAACTGCCCCTTAGGGAATGCCTTCATACATCTCTTAATTCAGAATTATTCTTTTCTTCTCATCTGTTAAACTAGACAAAGCCATTGAGTCATCTTCAGAGACCTGATGGGTGAGGGAGGGGACATGAAATATGTTGCTGGGCAGTCCTATTACCTTCTCTTAGTGATTGCTCTCAGCTACATCATTTTTGTTCTGTTTTACTGAATGGTAACCTGTTGGGGGAATGGGCAAGAGAGTACTTTCAAAGCTTTCTATACCTGAAACTTCCATTTAGTTGCTCTGAAGATTCATAGAGAGACTGAGGTAGTGTGGTAAGTGTGTGAAGTTTTTCATGTTGCTACCTCAAGACGAAATAAGGTGCAGGGACCCAGAACAGTTATTTCTTCACTACAAAAGGTGATACCTGTTGTAGCTTTTTGGTTTGGATTGTTTTATTTTTTTTTCTTTGACGTTTGAGCAGTGTTGTGGGTTAATGAGAGAGAGTCTGACTGTTCAACTCTTCAGGTTATTGGTCTGTTCATGTTGGTGTATGTGGACTTCTGGTCCTGCTGCATCATACTTTTCCTTTTCTGGAACTTCTCTTAAGTCAGAGAGGCCTATGAAACATTGTCCTGTATCATCAGTTTTCCTTGCCAATATGTTCAGGTCACTCACACAGCTAAGGAAGTTGCTGAATGCCACTTTATAGCCTTTTTAAGGATTTGTAATGTGATGAGAAATCTCAACTAGTCCAGCTTCCCACTTGTGAAGACAGGATTCACTCAGTTTCATGCTGCCTAAGCACAAGCTGTATTACCCTTAAGTATCTGGCAAATCCTGCCTTGGGTTACCAGTGTTTATATGGGAGTACTGGGGGAGAACACATATCACTGTGGCTGGGGTGACCAGAAGGCAGAAACCAGTTGAAGTTGTGATAGATCCTGTCAGTGCAGACAGGCTCTGTGCAGAAGGATGGAGAAATTGTAAATAATATTTTCTTGAAAGCATTCCCCCTCATAAATGCTGTATCACTTCTCTGAGCTTGAGCCTGTGTACTGAGCTATAACCTTGTCCTCCACATTGTCTGATTAGTCAGGCATTGGTTTTGTTCTGTAAGCCAATTGCACATTAACGCCCTGCATTCAGCAGTGAGGCTTAGCTGGTTTATGCTGTCATAATTTACACAATTTTCCAAAATCATACAACTGGAGTGTCAAGCAGTTTAATGTTACAGGAAGTTTTACAGCTTTACAGACAGATACCTTCTCAGTCTGCATCCACTGTCCTTATGAGGAAGATGATAAATTATAAGTTGGGGTCAATAGCTTTCTCCATATAAATGCTGCTACACTGGCATGGACAGAACTGTGCTCTCAGCTCTTCCAGTGTGGTACTTCAGTACACTTGAACTGTGCATCATGTGCAATGGCTTTATTTTATGAATGACTTCTTATGCACTTTGTGGCCTTCTTAGGGCTTATGACTTTCTTCCTCTTACTGATTATCTGGAATCAAACCATGTTTGTAATATGCAGTTTGGTTTTAAACAAAGCATGTGGTTTGATTTCTGTGTAAGCTGTGCAGGAGTTTATGCTGTAAATCTGTAGCATCTCTGTGGCACTGGTTCTGTAGGCTCTCTGTAAAACCTCAAAGCTTGCAGAACAGTCAGTCTGGGTTTTTCTCGTTTGCTTTCCTTTATTTTGACCCTTGTCATGTTTTCCATACAGTGTCAAAGTATTTGAGTATTTAATGTAATTCTCTGTATTAATTGCTCATCCTCTAAAAGCCACCAATAGTAAGTACATTGACCTTGCAGTGCTGTATTGACTTCCCTGCTTGGAAAATGTTCCCTTTTTAAAGACAGCATGGTCCAAGGGTGACCATGGTGAACTTGATTGTCTCATAGAAGTGGAAAGAGTGCTTAAATGTATTTTAAAGTGGGCTTTTTCTAGTGGTCTCCCTAGGAAAAGACTGGAGTATTCATGACTGACCTAAGCCTTGATGTGATGCTTTTGTTCAGATAAATAAATGCAGTAGTAGTGACTTACTGTCACTTTTGTGATGTAGGAAGTGGGTCACTCTTCAGGTTATCTAGATTACTCAGTCATAGCCAAAACTTAAATTGACAAAGACCATACTCAGCTTTGGAGTTCATGAATACAGTGAACACTTGGAGTAGCCTAGGCTTAATGAGAGTTTCTCTCCTCTCTTTGGATTCGTTGTCCCTTGGTTCTGTGTTTGTCTCCCATTCCAGGGTATTCCCTGGGTGCTGTGTGTGTGCCTTCTCTGGGTAAGAGCAGAGCCCCTGGAGGTGATAAGTAGGACAATTTAACAAGGACAGTTGAATATGGGAGATAACAACTAAAAGCAGACAATCAGCTTATTACTCCACCTCTTTAAAGGTTTGTTTTAAACTTCAGGGGTGATCATTTTGGCTTCTTTTATTATAACCAAACATAACCTAAACATTTATCGGGGTTTTTCATTATTTTTAAACTACACGTACCTGCAAAATTACCTCTGATCTATTTCCCAAAGATCTTTAAATTATTTATGTCGTTTTCTTGATATTTATTATAAAGACTCAAGGGAAATAACAAGATGCTTCATTCAATAATATCCTTAATTACAGAGCTGAAAGCAGTGCATTTAAACTTGGTCATATTCATTAGTATTTGGGTGTCATGTATTTATGTCCCACTTGCGTGTGCTAGACGATAGGACGAGTGAAGAACTCAATTTAGTAATGAATTTGTTCCTCCTGTCCCTGGCTGTGGTTGGAGCCGAGCTTGGTGCGCGGCGGGGCTGCAGCTGCGCGGCACGGCCGGCAAGTGGCGCGCCCTCCGCGGAGTCACGGCCGGGAGAGCAAACGGGGCCGGGAGCGGCGCCCGGAGCCCGGAGCCCTTCCCCGGGCCGGGAGCGGCGCCCGGAGCCCGGAGCCCTTCCCCGGGCCGGGAGCGGCGCCCGGAGCCCTTCCCCGGGCGGGCCCGGAGATCCGCGCTGTGTGCCCCGCTCTCTGCTCTCCGTGCTTGGCAGCGCGCTCACACGAGGGAGCTGTGGAGGTTTCTGGTGTTGTAGTTGTAACTGAGACATCGCCTGTCACTTTCCCATCTCGCCCCTATCTCTGTTTACATAACGCACTCCGCATCTTCCCGTGCTGATTGAGGTGTTAATGACAGCGGATTGTTTGTTTGTTAATGACAGTTTCTGCTAGTCTGTTGTTTGTACGACATCTGCAACATTCCGCAGACTGCAGCATTGTAAAAGAATGCTTCCAGAGACAAGAGTGGAGAGCCTTTATAAATGTTGCTTCCTGTTTAAACTGTTCAGATTTGGAAAACAAGCTGAATGCTGAAGTGTGCCTAGGTAAATGTACTACTTTTTTCAACTTTGTCTGTTAAGACTGAGTTATGTAAGTTTTTTCAGTTCTTCGATTTAAGAGTCTGCCTACCCTGCATATGTGAACATAACTATGCCCTCAGAGTCATAGCTAAACACTCACAGATGACAGATTGAGAATACTTCAGTACTCATGTGAGGTTTGCTATTATTCTTGCATACATGTAGTTGGCTGTAAACTATGTGCATTTACTCTGTATTTATATAGTTTAACTTTTTGTTTGGATTGCTTTAAACTTCAAAGCAAATTAAAATTATGTGCTTCTATTCAAATGTTGCCTGCTGTGCTAAACTGTACACTGTTTTTAACCTTCGAATTTTTCTATTATTGATACATACCAGTGCCTGCACAGTTGTGATTAAAAACGAAAAATTCATTAATCCAGTGAATCATTTTATCTTGTACCATTTTATAGTAGCTGAAAATGAGGTGTGTGTATTGTATCTTCAGTGTGGCCTTTTTGGAGGGATTCATGGATGACTTAAACTAGCAGTATGTGTTGGTGCAGTTGGATTTGAACAGAGTTACCTCTACAGAACCAAGTGACCCTGTCTGTCAGCTGAGATAACGGAGCTGGTGACCACAAAACTCATGTCCGTTTGAAGTGCCAGCGAGCACAAGCCACTGCTGACAAAACTGAAGGGCAGCAATTCCTTAAAATGCTCAGAGTTAATTGCATGTGAGGTTATAACCAAGTCCTTGAACTTGACACATTGTTAGATATCAATATGGTTTTTCTTAAAATAGTTGGTGGTTGATCTGAAATCTGTCTTGAGCTTGCTCTCAACTCATTCTCCAAATGCATCCATGGGGTTTGTTTGGTGAGTGCTGTTTTTCTCTGTGTGTGTTCTGAGTCTGTAGCCTCTAATACAGAGGCAGGCTCCATGTCTCTGATTGGATTCTTTCAGCTATTTAAAACTACTTCCAAACTTACATTCATCAGCACATCTGTGATAGCTTTTTTCTTTCAGTAGGTGTTACTGTGAATTGCCCTACCTTGCCCCATTTTAACAGGCCTTAAATCCCAGGCCAGCCAGGCTTAGAGGTAATCAGTGTGCTGGAACCAGTACAGGTAACCAGTGTTCTTATCCCTGGCACATCTGAAATTATGCCTCTGACTGGCACAGCTGTAATTGTAATTGATCTTTCACTTTTACCCTGCAAAGGGGGCACTTGGCAGGGCAGAGCTTAGGGTAAGTCTGTGGGGATGTTTTGAAGCTCATGCTGCTTTACAACTCCTTCTGCTAGAGGGGTTATGTTGAACTTGCCACAGTCAGAAAGTTGTGTGTAAAATGAAGGTGTATTTAAAGTGCTAATTGGTTATGACTTGGCATTAATGCAGCACTGCAGTCTGACAGAAGATGCAGCCCTAAAGCATGTGAGGCTTGACAATGATGTCTTTCACAAAGGAAAGCCCTTAAATTTCATAATGCACTTACACTACAATAAAATGTACTCCCAAAGACAAACACTCTCTCCTCTTGTATGTGCTGCTGCCAGCCACTGTGCTCTGTGCTAACTCAGAACATCCTTATCTTCTTGCACAGCTTCTGTAAAAGGCAGGAAAGACCAGGACTGGAATCCAGTTTTCATGAGCAGATTGATGCAAACAGAATGATATCTTGAACTGTGAAAGGCAGATTGAAGCACAGGATCTTCTGTTTATATAGATGGAGTATTTTGAAGGGTGCTCCTGAGACTCCTCACTACTGCAGACACCTCAGTGATGAGGTTGTGTGAAGTTGACTAGAAGCTTCCCAAGACAAGCTCAAGATGGTGAAGTGCTGGTAATTCCAGGCAAACCTCTCCAAAGGCAATGTTTCCTCCATTATCTGTGTCTGTCTGAAGGCTGGTACCTTGTCTTAATCCTGCTCTGTAGCAGACACTGGGGATGGGACTGAGGATGTGCATGCATCCCTCTAAAGAGAACAGGCCAGTTCTCCTAGGACTGCTCAGTATTCTCTTAGGATGGACTTTGGCTAAAATGAGCACCAGCCAAGAGCCTTTTGGATATGAATGCTGAAGGGAGAGCACACCTCCTGAGAGAAGGTGCTCCCCAGTTGTTGTATTTATCCTCTAGATAGGAAAAAGAAGTGAATGCTGAAGTAACTCTGTTCTTGCTAAGAAAGCCCAGTAGTTGTGAATCTGTTTTGAGAAATGTGTCATTCTTCAAGGAATTGTGTGAGAAGTCACAATGGATTTCCCCAAGGTATTCTCTTTCAGTCTGTCCTGGAGTGAGGTCTGCTTGGGGAAGAGTTTCCTTCCTCATTCCCTGGAAATAGTTGAAGACAGATCCTGCTGTTAAGGCTTTCACTGACCAGAAATGCTACTCCTGCAGAAAATCCTTAATGATGTGCAAATAACTTTTTTTCCCTCTGGCTGCTAAAGGCAGGCAAAGTGAATTTGTTTCTAAGCTGGTAAGTTTTCATTATAGTTCTCAGTTACTTTTATTGTCATTTCTGGAGGTATCTGTTTCCATTCTGTCTCTCCTGGAATGCAGTTAGCAGCAAAAGTTTAGAATTCTGTTATCCTGCACTGCCACTGTAAATGTTTCTGACCTTTGCAGTGACTTGCAAGGTGATTTGGGGAGCTCCAGCTGGATTCATGCTGGTTATGCTTAGAGACTTGGAAACTTGCTATGAATTACTTGAAACAAGAATGATCTATTATCACTGACACATTTTCCAGAGAGACTGCTTGAGGGGAAATACTGAAAAATTACAACCATTCAGCTCTGCTTGTAGGGTGGTCCAATATTATTCCCTAATTCATTCAGGCAACAAAGATTTAAAGTGCTTTCTTTGCAATACTAAAAAAACCAAAAGTAAAAATCACAAAACCAGTATAAAAATATTGACCTTTCCCCATTAGGGAGAAGAATATCTGCCCTAGTCCCTAATTGTTATAAACCAAGGAGACCACTGCCTAAACTTTATAGCTGGGATGTAAATGGAATATTGCCTCTCAAGCAGGAGCAGCTTAGAGCTGTTAAAACCACATACACATTTGGACACACAGAGCTGAACCAGGTAGAGCCAGCATTCCCCAGAGTTAGGACAGCCAGAACTGAACTTTCTTCCCATCACCTTCTTTCCCAGGGTAAAAGATTGTTTCCTTATGGCAGGGCAGGGACACTGGAGTGGCCATCAGGTATAATGGGATATTTCTGTGGGCAGCCTTGTAATTCTCAGGGTCCAAACTTTTCACGTGGGCTGTCACTTCTCACACTTCTCACCCTCAATGGAAAAGTGATCAGCACTAATTTGAGAAGGATGGGATTTTTAGAGATGACAGATATGGAAAGGTGCTGAAAGGTGAGTAAAAGCATGAGAATTCTGACTTACCAAAGGAGACAAAACTATATGACCATCCCCCTTTTTCCCAAAAAGCTCAAGAAAGATA